GCCCGTTCCGGGCCAGCGCGATTTGGCAGTTGGGTACCTGTCGCCCGGTGCCATCGCACATCGATGACTCTGTTTGTTGCGCCGCTCCTGGCGCGGGTTAGCTTCCAGCAACAGGAACAGGCCGCGCATGCCTGGATGGTTGGATGACAGGCCGCCGCCGTCGGTGTGATGCGGCAACGGCGTTCCGCCGACCTTGAGCCCCGCCGTCGCTGACGAACGCTCCTTCCTGCCCTCGCCCTTCTTGCAGAACCCCAGGTCTTCCAGCGTTTCCACCACGGTGATGGTAAACGAGTCGTACACCATCGCCATATCGATGTCGTCGTGGGTAACGCCGGCCATCTCGAAGGCGCGCGGTGAACTCTGGTGCGCGGCGATATACAGTCAGGCGGGCGCGCTTGCCGGCGCCGGGTGGCAGTGGCCTCGCCGCGCCAAGCACCTCAACGGGTTTGGCGGCAATTGCGGGCCACCTCAGGAGAGGCCACCACCACCGCTCCGCCGCCGTCGTGATGACGCAACAGTCCATCAGGTGCAGCGGGTCGGAAATGACGCGCGAGCTCACCACATCCTGCACGGTGATGGGGTCGCGGAAGAGGGCCTCCGGGTTCATCGACGCATGGTGTCGCATCGCCACCGAAACCTCGGCGAGTTGTTCGGAGGTGGTGCCGTAGAGGTGCATATGACGCTGGGCAATCATGGCGTACAGCCCGACCGTCGTGAGACCATACAGCTCTTCGAAACTGTCGGGTGAAGGGTCGAGGATGGGATGGCCGAAGCGACCAACGCCGCCCGTACCCACCGAAACGCCGCCGGAACGGGCCAGGCTGCTGTAGGTGATGACTGCCACGTTGATGCGTCCGGCGGCAATCGCCGTAAGCGCGTGGGAAAGATGGAACTCAAAAGACCCGCCGCCAACCGTGGTGTTGTCGACGTACTTCGGGTACATATTCAGGTAGTCAGCCAGGTTCATGCCGCTGTTGCGGATACTGCTGGACGCGGTAAACAGCCCATCCACGTCGTCCTTCTTGAGGCCAGCGTCGGCCAACGCCTTGATGACGCTCTCTCCCTGAATTTGCAACTCGCTCTTGTCAGGAGCGTAGCGGGTCACGTGCTCGTGGATGCCTACGATGGCGGCAGCGCGCCTCAGGTCAACCATGCCGTGTGCACCTCCATTGTTGATTTGGAATGTGTTGATTCGGAACGTGTCGATTCAGAACGTGTTGATTCGGAACGTGTTGATTCGGAATGAAGTCCCGAGAATCGCCGCTCATTATGCCACAACGCCGTCGGAGTGGTGGACAGCAGCCGAACGCTGCCACTGGCGCGTCTCCATGAACGAGTACCGGTAACTGGACTTAGCTTGGCATGCCTATCGGCAGGAGAGAGTCCTTGACGGCCCTGTGCCGGTTGCAATCGCCGTGGTGTCGTCAGCCGCGAGCCGTTGCACTACCTGCGACGACGCTGCCGCGGCTAACGCTCGTCATTGCGTAGCCTCGACGCGAGTTTCAAGTCCCGTGGTCAACAGTGGCGTCACGCGTACCTCACTAACTTCTGTCATTGCGAGGAGCATAGCGACGCTGGCAATCTCGATGCGCTGAACAGCTCGTCGGCGAACCGCCGTGGCTACGCGCGAGAGTTGCACACGCTATGCTCGCAATGACACAGTGGGTACGCTCGCGATGACAAAGTGTGTACGCATGAGCGGCCCGGACACGACGACCGTCGCCGCCATTGCGCCTCCGGGTTTTGCCTGCGCACGGGGTCCGACGGGCTATGGGAAGGTCTCCAGAGACAGCGCGGATGCACTACAAACCAAAAAAGGGCGGGTTGTTAGTCCCGCCCCTTCGTTGTTACCCGCAACCCTGTTGCCGACGAACAATCGGTGTGGCGTTAGCCAGGGACTTCGTCGTAGTGATGGAAGGTGCCGATCACGTTGGCTTCATACATCGACTGCACTTCGTCTTCACTGTAGCCGAGGAGTCCGGTCAGGACGTCTTCGTTGTGCTCGCCAACCTGCGGGGTTGAACCGATTACCGCCGGTGTGCGGCTGAAGTGCCAGAAGTCGCCGGATACCGCGATGCTGCCAGCCAGGAAGTCGGGAACTTCCACCATGGCCCGACGCTCCCACGGATGCGGATCCTGGGCAGCCTGGGCGATGGTGTTCACCGGGGCCGCTACCACGTCGTGGTGGGTGAAGTGGGCGATGGCTTCCTTCATAGTCAAGTTGGCCATCAGTGCGATCATGGCTTCGTTGACCAACTCGCCGTTCGCGCCGCGCTCGTGGCGGGTGGTGAAACGGGGGTCTTCCAGCCATTCCGGCTTGCCCAGTGCGTTGCAGACGCGGTGCCAATGGTGCTGGTCGCCTGCCGAGATGAGCACCCAGCCATCTTTGCAGGGGTAGGTGCCCGAGGGCGGCGCTGCCGACTCACCGCGCTTGGGCTCGATGCCCGCGCCGTGATAGGCAGTAATGGGAATCTCGGTGTAGCTGTAACCAGTATCGGCAAGACAGGCATCAATGGTCTGCCCAACGCCCGACGATTCACGCTCGTGCAGCGCGGCCAGCGTTCCGATGGCAGCGTGCAATGCGGTGGTGCGGTCAATGATCGGCACGCCGGCGCGGATGGGTGGCATACCCTCTTCACCCGTAACCATTGCGATGCCGGACATGGTTTGGCCGATGGGGTCGTAGCCAATCTGGTCGCTATAGGGCCCGAACTGACCGTAGGCGGAGACGTTGACCATGATGATGCGCGGGTTCAGTTCGTAGAGAACGTCATACCCGAATCCCATGGTGTCGATGGTGCCGGGCCGGAAATTCTGCAACAGCACATCGGAAACTTTTACCAGCTTGGTAAGGACCTCTTTACCCTGGTCCTTGCGCAGGTCGATGCTGAGGCTCTTCTTGCCGCTGTTGTACTGCACCCAGTATGCGGACTGCTTGCGCACCCAGGGAGCGTGGTAGCGGGTTTCTTCTCCGCCCAACCGCTCGACCTTGATGACTTCCGCACCCAATCGGGCCAACACTTGCGCGCAACGGGGACCGGCCTGGTGCCGACCCAAGTCGATTACACGTATTCCATCCAGGGGGCCTTTCGCTTCTGCCATGACCGGTTCACCTCAATCGCAGGTTTAGTCTTTCAAACGTCATTGCCGCCGGATGCCAGCGCAAACCGGAGGCCGTTATCAATGGCGCCATTCTACGCCGGGACAAAGCAATCGGCAAGCACGGGCACGGCCTCGCCCGTACTCTGGCCCCAGCGTCATCCTGAACCCAGCGCGGCAATTCCGTTTCACCGGAAAGGTTCTCACAAACCGGTCCGACTCTCCCCCGTGCTTGCCGCATCGCGGCGCTCACCTCATCCGAAACCATTGCCTATCCGTCGTTCCGGCGACCGCGGGTGTGCCCGGGCCGGGATTGCCACTTCGTTTCGAGTCTCGCGATGACAGGTTGGACAATGCTCATACCAACGGCAGAACGGGCATCACCACCGTTCCGATCGTGGCGCGGCCAGGGATTCGGGCGCTGGTTCCAACACCCAAACCTCGGTAGAGCGGGGCAGTGTGGCCGCGTCAAACACCACAACGCTGCCGCCCAGGCGTTTTACCGGCAGGTCGCAACGGGATTCCAGCCATCCTTCGGGAGGCAGCAGGCCGGCGCTGTCGGCGGTGATGCCGGCGTTGTGGTAGTGCATGAGGATGACTACTCTGGGTTGCAGCCGGGCAATCAGGCTGTCCACCTCGCTGTAGGTCAGCAGGTGGATGGAATCATCGACGGTTACCATCAACACGTCGATGCCACCGACAGCGGCGCCAACCTCGGGTGGCCAGTTGGCCCGATTGTCCCCGATATGCAGGAACCGCACGCCGTGAATGTCGATGCGGTACATCACGTTGGGAAATCTGGCGGCCTCCAGCCGTGGAGTCGAATGGATGTCGGCGATGCCGGTAATCCGCACATCCTGGATACGCAATTCACCCTCCATGCGCCAGATTGACACGTCGTCAACGAGGCCATGCACGGCGTCGTGGTCGAAATGGGCGTGAGTAACCAGGCACAGGTCGCAACCAACGGTCGGAAACTCGCGCTCGAACCAGAACCGATCGGGATATTGGTTGCGGTATGGGTCGATGAGCACGCGCACTCCGGCGGGACTTACCCACCGGAAAGCGCTGTGGCCAAAGTAGGTTAAAACCGTCGAAACAGCGGGGCGTGGGCTTGGCATTGGTGATTGATAGTTAAGGACGGTGCGCGGAGACAAGGCGATCTGATTGTGCCACAACCCAACGGCGCTGACATCAGCCCGTAGACGCCCGAACCGCGCGGATGTTACACGTAGAAACTGGTGATACCTGATGACGGATGAACCCGTAGCGAATACCCCACACGCTAACTCAGCCGGGGCCGGCGACTTGCCGCCGATCTCGGAGCGTCAATTGGCTATGCTGTGGGAGCGTCGCGCGTCTCGCTACCATCATCTCCGTACCGACCAGGGCGCGCGCGTAAGAGTGTTGTATCCCGGCCGGCCGGGAGTAACCGCTGGACCCGATTTCCGCAACGCCGTGCTTTTGGTGGAAGGGTCAGGAATGGTGCAGGGCGATGTGGAAGTTCACCTGCGCCAGCGCGACTGGGTGGCGCATCGACATCAAAACGACCCTAATTACAACGGCGTGGCCCTGCACGTTGCGCTCGAAACGGACGCCGTGCCTGCAGTTACCGTCAGCGGCGTGGCGCCTCCGGTGGTCGGTTTGCAATCGCTGGTCGCTGGCGCAGAGCCAACCCGCGCAGAGTCAGCGGATGGTCTGGCGTGCGGCAAGACTCGTGAGCAATTGTGGCGTCTGCTGGCGCAGCATGGCTACCGTCAGCCGGCATCGGCAGAGCAGATGTCCGCCCTGCTCAATCGAGCCGGCGATGAACGGTTCCTTTCCCGCAGCGGGTTGTTGGGAGCGTGGCTGCCAACGCAGTCGGGCGAACAAATTCTCTGGGAGGCGATTTGCCAGGCGTTGGGGTACCGCCACAACGAGCACACCATGCTGCAATTGGCCGCCACCTCACCCATTGCATCCTTGCGCAACGCCGCGCGCGCCCTGCCGGCCTCGGAACGGGACGGTGCGCTGTCAACATGGATGCTACGCTGGGCCGGGTTTGCCACCGCCGACGGCCGGCCATCGCGCTGGGGAGCGCCGGCGGGGTTTGGTTCGCCGCTGCCGTCCAGCCAGTGGCAATTGTTTCGGGTACGACCGGCCAATCATCCTCGGCGCCGGGTGCTCGGAGCGGCCCTACTGACCGCCCGTTTCCTGGAGATAGGACTATCCGCCGGATTGTACCGTGCTGCCATCGCCGCCAAACCGCCGCAACTGACGGCATCATTGGCGGTGGCCAATCGCGGTGATGGACTACCGGCCCCGATTGGAACCGGGAGAGCGCGAGACATTGCAATTAACGCCGTGCTGCCCTATCTGCACGCCTGGCGGTTGGCGTCAGACGACCCGGTTGGAGCGCAGGGTATGCTCAGTCTGTACCGGGCGTTCGGCCCGCTGCCGGAAAACGAAATCACCCGGCATATGGCCAGCGCGTTGCAGGAACCCGGCTGGGAACGCGTGGCCAACAACGCCCGTCGCCAACAGGGGCTGATCCACCTGCAACGATTGTTGGCCGGGGAATCGAAACCGCAGTTACTTTAGCGGCACTGCCAGCGAGATGCGGGCTTCCTCGCCAGTGTTGCGGATGATGTGGCCGTGGCCGGTGAGGTCTTCCGCCACTAGGACATCTCCGGGGCTGAATTGCCGCTTCGTGCCGTCAGCTATCTCTATTTCGGCCCCGCCGGACATGAACACGACGTACTGGTGACGCGGTGCGATGTGGTAGTCCTGCCACCACCCGGGCGGGCGCTGGCCAACGGTGATCTCGCCGGTCCCGACATTATTGGCGATCGCGGCAAACTCATCGGGGGTTAGGTCCTGAAAATGCGACTCACCGTCGTCGCCGGCGTAAATGCGGACAATCATGCGTTTGTTGCTCCGGTATATGTGGTGCTCAGGTACGAATCGGGGGCGAGGAGAAACAGGTGCAGCCCTCGCCCCTACCCAGTCTCGATGCAGACCGATGCTTTATCTGTCATTGCGCGGAGCGAAGCGGCGTGACAATCCCGTTGCAAGCACGACGACCGTCTGCCAAACTCCACTCAATCTTACAGCCCGCTCCAAACGACGGTAATGCATAGGTCTTCATCGGGAGCGGGCGTTTTTGCGGCCTACCCGGGTTAGCTGTCCTTCATGGGAACAGCAAGCGAGACGCGGAATTCGTCGCCGATGCTGCGGGCAATGTGGCCGTGACCGGTAAGATCCTCTGCAACCAGCACATCGCCGGGGAACATTCGGACGACGGTGCCGTCGGCGACTTCAAACTCGGCGATGCCGTTCATGTTGACCACGTATTGCCGACGCGGAGCGTTATGGTAATCGGAGAAACTGGGGGATTCGCGGCGGCCCAAGGTAACGTCGCCAGGGCCCACGTTGTTCGCAACTTCGGCGAACTGGTCGGGGGTCAGGTTCTCAAAGTGGCTTTCGCCGTCGCTGCCGGTGTAAACCCGTACAATCTGTCCCATAGGATAGCCTCCTTGCCAGTATTGGCGTGAATGACAATTGCGTAGATGGATTCAGCGTGTCTGGAAATTGCGTAGATGGTCCGCTCAGCCAGCCAGGGGGATAACCGCGGTGAGGCTGGGCGCGTTGCCCACCACTCGTGTGGTATGTCCTTGACCAGACGTGTCTTCGACCAGGCGAGCATCGCCAGGGCCGTAGCGCACGGTTGTGCCGTCGCCGAGGCCGATCTCAAATTTCGCCGCCCAGCGAGATGATGTACTGGCGCCTCGGTGCCGGGTGCCAGTCGATAAAGTGACCGGGTGGCCACTCGCGGAACGAAATTGAACTGGCCGCCTGAGCTTCGGTAAGCTCGGGATGGTCTGCCAGGCTGGTTTCTTCGATATGTGACTGGCCGTCGTCGCCAGCGTAAAGTCGGAAAATTGCCATTAGCCCACCTACATTCATGGGCCTCAGCCCAAACTGCGCTAATCTTACCCCCGGCACGAACGCGGGGCAACCTCGCTTCGCGGCCACGCGTACCCACTTTCTTTCGTCGTCGCGCGTACCCACTTTAATCTGTCATTGCGTGGAGCATCGCGAGGTGGCAATCTCGATGCGGTTGTACACACGTCGGCGAATCGCCGTTGCTACGGCGACGGGATTGCCACGCTGCGCTCGCAATGACAGGTTACCCAGAGGTCCCCACAGGGAATGGACGTTAGTTGGAGGGTTGCGGAACGTAAATCCAGCCTTCGAGGCATGCGTTGGCCAGTTCATCGACGGTGGGGTGGCGGAACCGGTTGGCATCCAGCGCCCACGTCGCCGCTCCAACTGCTGCCACCACGGAATCGAGGCAATCGTCGTTGGCGCGGCAGGCCATCCGCAGTGCGTCCAGGTTGGCCAACTGCAAACCGGCGGCCGCCGCCAGTCCATCGCAGATGACGGTACGCAATTCCAGGGCGCGGCGGCCCTTTTTGTAACCCTTGAAGGGCAATCCAACAGACTTGAGAAACGCGCCCGGCATCAGCTCCAGCAGCGTAACCGCGTCGGCAGGCGTTACCGCCGCTGGAACCGGCGGCACCAACCAGCGATTGGGAAATGTCCATATGCAGGCGCTGAAGCATCTGGATGCCGTGGCAGGTCATGGGCACCATGTTGGGATTTACGTTGTGCAATGGAGAGAAACTCTCCGGGAAATAAACCGCATCGCCGGCGCGTTTCGGCTCGCCTTGTTTTGCGACGAACGCGTTGCGAGCGGCGACGAAATCGTCCAGGCCAAAGCCGGCCACCACCCGCCAGACGTCAGGCATCTCGATGAGCGGATCGCCCGGGCTCAGGAAGTTGGCGAATTCCGCAGGTACACCGAAGGGAAAATCGAGCGCGGCGACAGCCGGTACCGGCGTTGTCGACAGCAAGGCATACAGGTCATCGCGGCAGGCCGGCTGTGCCCGATCAAAAACCAGCGTGCCGTCCGCATCCAGATGCCCTTGTGTCACCCACGTGTTGCGGTCTTCGCGACTGCCGCTGTAGTCAATGCCGATGATGGTCGTCATAGTAGATACGATTGTACTCGGTTGCTGCTACCCGGGCCGGGTCTGGCACGAGTAAACCGAATTGCCGAGCCGCGCGTTCAACCGCCGCTTCAACCTTTCCCCATCAAGTCGTAACGACGGAAGCATTGATAATCGAAACGCCCTGGGCAAGGATGGCAGCCACTGTCGGCGGCGGTGGAAATCGGGTAGAATATCGCACGAAACTGGTTTAATACAGCATCAGATTGCTGAATTTTCGTGCTCGCTGAGGCGGGCATTCAGGAGCCGAATTTTATGGATTACAAGAATCGACGGGAGAACTACCGGGCCGTTTTGGCTGGCGACGTCTGCGTGCATCCGGGTTCAGTTTTTGACCCCATCTCGGCGCGCATCGCTGAGGATCTGGGCTTTGAGGTCGGTATGTTCGCCGGCTCCATCGCCAGCGGCACCGTGCTCGGCGCGCCGGACTACGTGGTGCTGACGCTCAGCGAGTTCGCCGAGCAGATTTACCGCATCTGCCGCGCCGGTGAGCTCAGCCTGATGGTCGATGCCGACCACGGCTACGGCAACGCCCTCAACGTGAAGCGGACGGTGGAAGAGCTGGAAGCCGCCGGCGTGGCCGCGCTGACCATCGAGGACACCCTGCTGCCCATGGCCTTTGGCGGCGGCGACTCGGATACCAACCTCATCTCGCTGGACGAAGGTATCGGCAAGATGAAGGCCGCGCTTTCGGGCCGCACCGACCCCAACTTGGTGGTCGCCGGGCGCACCAGCAGCATCCGGGTCAGCGTTGACGAGTGCATCAAACGGGTGAAGGCCTACGCCGCGGTTGGCGTGGATGCGGCGTTCCTCGCGGGCGCCAGCACCAAAGCCGAGGTTGAGGCCGTCAGTTCCGAAGTGAACATACCCCTGCTGCTGGGTGGCGTCGGCGGCGAGCTGACCGACAAGAAATGGCTGGGCGACCACGGTGTTCGGGTGGCGCTACAGGGTCATCTGCCCTTCCAGGCGGCGATCAAAGCCGTCTACGACACGCTGAAGGCGCTGCGCGACGGCGTGGCTCCCGGCGACCTGCGGGATCAGCTGGCTTCTCCCGACCTGATCGCTCAGGTGACGCGAAAGGCCGAGTACGACCGGCAAATTGCCGACTACCTGGGTTAACCAGCGCACCGACGCGCGACGGCAGCTCGACTCAGCATCTGCTCGCGCACTTATCACCACATCCACCAATCATTATCGGAGGAGAATCATGGCATTCGTTTGTAACCATCTGCACCTGCGGAGCGAAGACCCGGACAACGCCGCCAATTTTTACGTGGAGAATTTCGGCGCGGTTATCGTTTCTACGCGGCCCTTGTCCAATACCGTGTCCCACCAACTGGAATTGAACGGTCAACCGTTGCTGACCGTGTCAGGGGAAGCGGAAGGAGAGAACGCAGTTGCCGGCTCCACGGACCCTCGCTTCGGCCTGGACCATTTCGGCTTCCAGACCGACGACATTCAGGCCGCCTTCAAGCAGTTCCAGGCCACGGGCGCCAATATCATCTGCGACCCCTGGACGATGCCATCGGGCAGCCAGGTCATGTTCGTGGAGGCTCCCGATAAGGTCAGCCTGGAGATTATCCAGCGACCTGCGTAAAGTGGGTGTTCGCCCGCACGCCAACCCCTCTTCCAAATGGGAGAGGGGGTTTTGTTGCCATTGGGCAGCGTACTACATGAACAGGCTGGCGATGGGGCTAACTCTAACCGTGTACCATCAACAGAGCGGAATCTTACAAGCCGGCAAAAAAGTCGTCAGGAACGGTTTCGCCGGGCGCCACTTCGGGCCACGCGCGGATGTAGTGTTCTATGCCCATGGCGGCCGCCGCGACTTCCCGGGGTACGCGCTCGTAGGGCCAGTCGGGTTGCAGCTGGGTAAAGTGCCGCTTGATGCAGGCGAACTTGGCGTCCAGTCCATCCGACACATCCAGGGTCAGGTGAATGTCCGCCGGATCGCATCCGTCGTCAACGCGATCTGGCGACGGCAACGGGAAATCGACGCCGGCCGCACGGAGCGTCTGCGCCATGCGCGTCCGAAATCCCTTGGGGCGGCCACTGTAAAACAGGCGGTCAGTCTGGTGAGGCTGGATACCGATCGCCATATGGTGCGGAAAAGCGTCGGGGTCGGCGGCCAGGCGAAACGCTTCAGTAGCGTGGTTGCAAATGGCAATGTGATCCGGGTGGCCGTAGAGTCCGCCGGGCTCGAAGGTAAGTATCACCTGCGGCTTGAAACGTCGGATTTCGAATACCAGGCGAGCCACCACTTCATGCTCGCTGGCTTGCACAAAAGCCTTGGGATGGTGGTTGTCGTCCCAACCGGCCATGCCCGAATCGCGGTAACCGAGCACAGCGTGAGACTCGATGCCCAGTTCGACGATGGCCTGCTCCAGTTCGGCGCGGCGCACTTCGCCGATGGTTTCTCGGGTGGCCGACCCGGGTTGCCGGATCTCGCCCAACTCACCGGAAGTAGCCGTGATGAGCCGTGTTGTAACACCCCGGGCCGTGTGCATCGCAATGGCTCCGCCCATGGGGAACGCTTCATCATCAGGGTGGGCCAGCAGGGCCAGCATACGGTGCTCGGGCATTGATCGTTTCCTCGCGGGTATCGCTCACCCGCCCCGTCCCGATGGAGACATTTGCTCCCGCATCGTTCTGGACTGCGCCGGAACGACGGCCAGGTTATGCCCAGGTCTCCGGTGGGAGATGGGACGGGCGAGATGAGGGGGTTTAGTTAATGATCTCCAGCACTTCGAGGATGATGCCCTGGGGACCTTCGAAGAACATCACGCGCCGGCCGCCGCCCACGGTGGTCTCTTCCAGCACGGTGGCGCCGCCGTTTTTGAGGTCGGCGACGGTGCCGTCGATATCATCGGTGTCAATGGCGATGTGCTCGAAGCCATAGTTTTGCGGGTGGGTCTGCGTGGCGACATGGTCGGTTACGTTCAGAGGCAGGCCGTGGAGGTCCAGGCGGAAGCCCCCGTTCGCCGTTTCGGCGGTCACGGTGGCGCCCAGGTTGGCAACGTACCACTCGGCGGTGGACTTGGGATCGGGAGTCTTGAGGTGAACATGATTCAGCGCGAAAGCCATGGTGGTTCCTCCTTGATCGGTGTCTGTCTTGATCGGTATCTGTAGATTGTTGTCCTGGGGATACTGCCGTTTGGGGGGTTGGATTTTTGCCTTGTCCTGCTGTAACTGTGGGCAGTAATTTCGCACTTGCCTCAGTGCTCTGCCATCCAGACCGGCGGGAGCGAATTCCGAGGGTTGAGTACTCTGTTCGATGCTGGAATTGTAACATAAGGAGCCTGCGGGTTTGAGTAGCCACTGGGTTGGGTGGTGATATACTTGCGCCGCTGATACAAACCGGAGGCAACATCGCGATGCTGGCATTTTTGGGGGGCACGGGACCCGAGGGAAAGGGGTTGGCTTTACGCTTGGCGATGGCCGGCGAATCGGTGATTATCGGTTCCCGGGACGCCGGTCGAGCCCAGGAAGCCGCCGAAGAGCTGCTGGCTCTGGCTCCCAACGCGAGTATCTCCGGCGCCGTAAACGCCGACGCCGCCGCTCAGTGCGAGGTTGTCTTTCTGACGATGCCCTACAGCGGTATGTCGCCCACCATCGAGGGTGTCGGCGACACACTCGCCGGCAAGACGCTGGTAACGGTGATTGCGCCGATGCGATTCGAACGGGGTGTGGGCGCGATCGCTGAAGACGTGGCGGCTGGCTCAGCGGCTCAGGAAGCCCAGGCCGCCGCTACCGACGCCCGTGTCGTCGCCGCTTTTCAGAACGTGTCCGCCGAGGAGCTATTGAAGCCCGGCGTTACGCTGGACGAAGACGTGGTTATCTGCTCTGACGATGCCGATGCCAAAACCACCGTCATGGACCTGACCCGCAAAATTCCCAACCTGCGCCCGGTGGACGCCGGCGCACTGTACAACGCCCGATACGTGGAGCAGATTACTCCACTGCTGGTAAACATCAACCGAATACATCGAGCGCATTCCGGCGTCAGAATCACCGGCGTGTAACTGCGCTATTTCATCAGTTGCCAATGCACTCTGCACAAGGAGATAACGATGCCACGAGCTACTCTTGATTTGCAAAACAGCGCCGACCTGTCTGCCATTGGCGGGCAGTGGCGGTGCGCCCACGGCTTCGTGCCCGGTGAACCGAACGAAGGCATCGTGAGCGAGGCTGATGGTTCTCCCTGCCGCCTGCCCGACTTTGACGATTCCGGTTGGGAAGTGTGCGACGACCTGGGCGCGTGGCGTCGGCAGGGCGTGTCATTCATCTGGTACCGCATCACCGCCAAGTTGCCCGAAACCGTCGGCGGTCGTTCGCTGGACGGCGCCCGCTGCCTGTTCGAATCCTGCATCGACGACTATGGCGAAATCTGGATCAACGGCGAGTGCGACCGCGAACGGGCCACCGTACAGGGCTTCAACGTTCCGCAGCGCGTGGTGGTCACCACCGAGCCCAAAGCCGGCGACGAGGTAACCATCGCGATACTGGCGATGAACGGCCCGTTGGCTGCGCCCGGCGGTGCAGTCTTCGTACGTTACGCCACTCTGGCCTTCGAATGGCGGGAAACAGGACGCTAGCGGACACTCTTATTGTTCCTCTCCGGGCCGGAAAGGGTAGGTTCGAAGGGCGGTTACGCTAGCCAGTCGTCGCCTTCCGGTTCGTCGCCGGCATCGCCTTCTGCTTCGAAGGCCGTGCGGGTGGGATCGTACTGGTAGCCAAGGGCTACCAGTTGGGCCCGTATCTCATCGGTGAAGGCTTGCACCTCGGTGCTGGCCGGCAGCGTAATTTCCACGACGCCACGACTATTGACCTGAACGCTGCCGGGGTCTTCACGGGACAATTCGACGCTGACCGATTCTCGGTGGATACCGAAGGCGTCGGTTTCCGAAAACACGACGGCCATGTCGTCCATCGTGATGATGGTAATTTCATCCTCTGGCATCCCGCACCTCCGGTTGGGTACGTTCCCGGTTCATGGGTACGTTATCGGTTCAGTTGATTGACTAGTCTTGCGGCGGCCATTGAGTGCCACCCTCGGAGGGACGTTCCGCCGCCGGCAGGGCCATGCCGTCTGCTACTACCTGCTGGAACTCGCCCAGAATGACCGCACCCCATTCTTTCGCCTTGTTGACCCGGTAGGCAGTGCGCCGCCCGCGGGCTTCCCTCCGGCCCTCCGCTTCGTCGCTGACCGATGCCGCCGCCTGGGCAACCATGGCATCCATGGCATCGATGGCGGGCACCAGCGAGCGGGCGGTCTCGATGAACCTGGCGATCTGACCCATCTCTTCATCGAGCACCACGAAAACCGGAACAGTACCGGCCCGGTGCTCCGGCAGGAAGCTGTTGGACAATTCCAGCTCGTCGTCGCGGTTGAATACGCTAAGCTGGATGTTGTCCGAAGCATCGGCCAGCCGCAGCACGGCCGGCGTGGTCGACATGGCATCGCCGCACCAGTCAGAGGTGAACACGGCCAGGCGCACCGGTTTTTCCAGACCATTGAAGTAGTCGAGCACCGCAGCGGGAATCTCGGTACCGGCGTGTATCTGAATAAATGGATCCTTGTTGACCTTGATCGATTCGATGTACTGCTCAGTCGTCATGCCCTGAGCCAACTTTTCAGCTGTCAATTCCATTGGTGCACCTCATCCTGGTTGGCCAGCCGCATTTTGCCCTTGTTGCCGGCCAGTGCTAAAATCGGCGTTGGATACTGGATACTACCACCCGCCGGGTGCGCGGGTCGAGGGGAGCCGCCTGTTGACTAACGATCGTTCGGGAGTGTACCTGAAATACGCGCTGTTTTGCCGGGATACCGCGGAGGGCGATGGGGACGACCTGAGCTGCACCGGAATTATCGACCTGGTGGACATTGAGATGCCAGCTGAACCCCCTACCGGCGACGCGCCCCGGGTGCTGGCCGACGTGGATGTACAACTCGTGTTTTGCATCGCCGGCGCCAGCCCCGGTGAACACACGTTGGAAATCAGCATCCGCGCCCCTGGCGCCAGCCTCTCCAGCCCTCCGCCGCAGCAAACGGAGTGGGAGGACGGGGTTTTCTTCCAGCGCTGGATCAAGCCGTTCCGCATCCCGGTAACGCGGCTGGGTCGCCATGTGGCTGCCATCGCTTACGACGGAATGCCGTTGGGCGAGGCCAGCTTTTTGGTACGGCTGAAGCCTTAACTGCACCGAAACCGTTCAGGGATAGCCAGGTTCATTAGTTCCCCCCACTCGCCCTGAGCGTGTCGCCGGGCCGCTCGCCCTGGCCCTCTCCCACCAAAGGATAGCAGCGTAGGCCAAACGGCAGGGGCGACCGATGCGTCGCCCCTGCCTTTGGATACACTTGCCGCCGCTACGCGATCACCGCGCGCGCTACGTTCCATCGCGATGGCCAGGCATGCAAGACTACTGCTCCCAAAGCGCTTCCAGGACGGCGCCCGGGTTCATTGGCAGGCTTTCCATGCGTGCGCCGGTGGCCCGGGCGATGGCGTTGCCGATGGCTGCCATCGGAGGCACCAGGGACACTTCGCCGACACCCCTCACACCCAGCGGGTGCCCGGGGTTGTGCACCTCCACGATAACCGTGTCAATCATCGGCAGATCCAGCGCGGTGGGCATCCGGTAATCCAGGAACGACGAGTTGAGCATCTGGCCGTCGTCGCTGAAGAAATACTCTTCATTGAGCGCCCAGCCGATGCCCTGAACCGCGCCACCCTGGATCTGTCCTTCCACGTAGCTGGGGTGGATGGCTTTGCCGCAGTCCTGAATAGCCGTGAAGCGCAGGACGTCCACCTTACCGGTTTCGGTGTCCACCTCCACGTCGGCGACGTTGATGGCAAATGCGTTGCCCACACCACCGGGGTTGGCCGTGGCGCGCCCGACCACCGGGCCGCCGGTACCGTTCAGCCGTCTTGCCAACTCGTCGAAAGTCAACCGCAGGGCATCATCGGACCGGTGCGCCAGTGTGCCGTCTTCCTGGTATTCCACATCTTCTACGGGAACGTCCCAGATGCGGGCGGCGCGTTCGATCAACTGGCGGCGCACATCCTCGCCGGCCTGGTAAACGGCTGTACCCATCTTGAAGGTTACTCCGCTGCCTCCTGCGCCGCTGCTGTAACCGATGCTGTCGGTGTCGACGATGGATGGCTTAATCCGTTCCGCCGGCAGACCGAGCACCTCGGCGATGTGCATGGCCATGACCGCGCGGGAACCGCCAATGTCAGGCGAACCTTCAATCAGGCTGACGGTACCGTCTGGCATCACGCTGGCAACGGCGCTGGCGGGGCCGGTGCCGTTGAACCAGGCGCCGGCGGCGATGCCGCGTCCAGTGACCCGTCCGGGACCGGACGGCGCCGGCACCGGAGCGGCCAGATGGGGGTGCTCTTGAGCAGCCTGCAGGATTTCCACCATCCCGATGCGACGGAAAACGGGCCCGGCAACCTGGCGGCTGCCCTCTTTGGAAGCGTTGTTCAACCGAAATTCCACCGGGTCAACGCCCAGCTTCTGGCACAGCTCGTCGATGGCCTGTTCAGCAGCGAAGGACGCCACCGGAGATCCGGGGGCCCGGTACGCCGCGGCCTTGGGCACGTTGGTAACCACATCGTAGCCCTCCACGAAACCGTTGGGAATCTCGTAGGGGGCGAACATGGTGCGGCAACCGCTGGGTACCGGCGAGCCGGGGAATGCGCCCGCCTCGTACACCAGGGATGCCTGAGCGGCGACGAAACGGCCGTCCCGTGTGCCGCCAACCTTGACCTTGATATGACTCCCCGAGGTGGGGCCGGTGCCCGTAAAAACCTCGGTGCGTGTCATGGCAATTTTCACCGGGCGGCCGGTCTTGCGAGCTAGCGCGGCGACCACCGGCTCAAGGTAGCAACCACCTTGACCCTTGCCGCCAAACCCGCCGCCGATCTCCATCGGGACAACGTTCATCTGCCCCACCGAGATGCCCAGAATGCGGCTGGTGTGGTCACGCAGGGCGAAGTGCCCCTGGCTGCTGGCCCAGATGGTTAGGGTGTCATCGTTGTTCCAGCGCGCAGTAGCAGAGTGCGGTTCGATGTAACCCTGATGAACGGGCCGAGTGTGGTACTCACGCTCGACGATTTCGTCGGCCTCGGCGAATCCTGCTTCGATATCGCCCAGGGTAAACTGGAAATGGTTCGACACGTTGGAACCGTCTCCGGTTTCGCCCTCTGCCCAACCGCCGGCGCGCATCGCCGGGTTGGTCAGGCTCACCAGACGTTCGTGGATGATGGGAGCGCCGGGAGCCATCGCTGCATCAGCAGTCATCGCCGGGGGCAGCACTTCCCAGTCCACATCAATCAACTCCATGGCTTCTTCGGCAAGGTGCGGCGAATCGGCGACGATTGCTGCCACCGCGTGGCCCCGATACAACGCCTTTTCCCGAGCCATCACGTTGCGGCTGTAGAAACCATAGTTGACCGTTGAACCCTCTTCCTGGTCCTTTATTTCAGCGGACACGTCTGGGAAGTCAGCGCCGGTTACCACCGCATGAACACCCGGCAACGCCAGGGCGCGGCTGGCGTCGATACCCTTGATGCGGGCGTGGGCGTGGGGACTGCGCAGGATTTTGCCGTGCAACATTCCGGGAAGATGAATATCGGCCGCGTAGCGCGCACGACCCATCACCTTGTCGGGCCCGTCGTGGCGAATGGGGCGCGTCCCCACCACACGGTAGTCATGATCCGGGTCAACAAGAACGATGTTAGGTTTGTAATCAAGCATATGGAGCGTCCTCCTGAGCGACGATTGCGGGGCGATTGATGGCCGTAATTTACCACAATACGGTCGGCGACGGGGGCCGCACTCAACCTGACCCCCTCCCCATCAAGCAGGGCTCGGCGGGTATGACTGACGTGAGCAGACATCCTCTTTCCAGCGTGCCCGGCAATTCGACCGGGAGCCGGCAACAATGCGCCGGCGATGCCAAGTCCCCTGCGTCCCGGCCAATCCTCACGAGCCGCTATCCTTTCCTGCGGGAGGAATGCCGGGAGTGAGCGTCGACCCTCGCCTACCGGAGCAACCACTACGCGAGCAACCACCAACGCGTATCTGATGCGTACCCACTTTGTCATTGCGGGCATAGCGTGGCAATCCCGTCGCCGTAGCAACGGCGGATCGTCGACCTATGTTCAACCTCATCGTGATTGCCACGTCCCTCGACGAGCTCGGGATGAGCGGACGCTCTTCGCAATGACGGATTAAGTGGGTACGCGTGAGCCAAAATGGGTGCGTTGACGCTTCGCGGCGTCAGTGTCTATAATTTCGCTGGTTATTTGCGGTTTGTTGAGGTATTGTGCGCCATGGATTTGAAAACAGGACAGCGTTATGTCGCCCCGGGTGGGGCCGAGATGATCGTCAGCAAGGCCAGCGGGACGGGGGAGTTGACGGACGGGGACATCCCCCTGCAAATCAAGGGCGCCAGCGTCGACTTTGCAGGCGCCGCGCCAGCCGATGACGCTCCGGAGGTTACGATGGGCAAACGGCTAACCTCACCGGACGGCAGCGTATCAGTCCTGGTTACCAAGGCCGGCAAGTGCGACCTGCGCCTGGACGGAGAACCAATGGAGTTGCAGGAAGCGAAACAGTTGCCGTCGGTCCGATTGATTACTGTCGACGCTTCAGGGATGACTGTGATTGGGCGGCCGATGGCTCGCCTTCGCTGTCTCGCAGCGGGGTTCAAACATCGTCCGTGTGTTAGAACCTGTCTGACGATCTCTGAAATAGTTAAGCTGAACTATTATCAGGGTAAGGGTAAATCTGGTCTCATTCCTATCCCAGCGACATCATCCGGGAGCAATTCGTCCCGGAATTCTTCTTCTGGCGACGTTGGAGTCGGCCCGACGCCGACCAAGCCCAGCCCGCACCGTGGACTTTTGAACTTTTTTCTTCGGCGTGCTGTACCTCTTGAAAAGCGGGTGCCAGTGTGCGAATGCTGGGCCCGCGGACTTCCCAACTTGGCGTACTTGCTACAAGTATTTTTTTTTTTGTCCGGCACTGAGCGGTCGGCCTGGCCCGGGTCAGGATTTACATTCTGGAGCAATTCCTAACAAAACTCGGTTGGCGCGGCCCGACAAAGGCAATGATGGACGGAAAGAGCACCAGCTTCTGTATCGTGGACTCCCGAGCGTCAAGAAACACGGACAAACCGCTGGTCACAAAGGGCTATTACGCTGGCCAAGGAGAGGTGTCGGATCAAAAAAAAAAACGTCATAACGCGGTGGACACGCAAGGGATTGCCCCATGCGATCCACGTGATACCGCCGACGTCCCGAACCGGCCCGGGCTTTTGCGTGTTTGACCGGCGGCGCCGATACGGCCTCAGTCAGTGCGACGTGCTGTGACGGGGTTCCACCGGAAAGGGTCCCTTTCCCCTGCTTGTGGCAAGCCTGTTGGGATCCTCGGTGGAAGTGTGTGAAACTCACGAACTGCACACCTCTGGTGGCTTTCCAAAGCGATGGGTGGTGGAGCGGTCTTTCGCCTGGCGGAAAAGTGCCGCCGACTCTGGAAGAACTGCGAAAGGGAGTTCAATACCACTGAAATGGTGGTGCTTGCCTTCACGGTGCTAATCCTGAGAAGATTGGTAACGGTTCTTAGGGAGTGGGCCTTCAACCCCCCCTAGCCCTCTCCCTCGAGGGGAGGGATGCAACCGATGGGGGGGCCCGGGCCTCGCTCTCTGTTCCAACTACCTGAGCTCTCTTCTCCGACCGGGAAGGGGATGGCAACCTCTGGCCCCGGGCATTTACGCTACATGCAAACCGCCCCTCTCACCACCGGGAGAGGGGTTGGGGTGAGTGTAATCCCGCACACCATTTGCCGCGCCCTAAAGGAAGGCGGTATCACATACTTCCCGAACATGCGATGCTGTTCTTATGTTGCTGTGGGGCAGGTTGCCCTCTGCATGAAGCACAGCATCTGATCAACGCCCCGCCTCCCACCGGTATTTCTCGAATGGTCTTGGATTACCGTCCTCCGGGCTGCCCATTGCGAACTCGCCGGACTCAATGTGTGTCCGTCGGCGGTTTTGTTGACGCTTCCGTCTGCAACCGCATCAACGGCAAGCGGTAGCTGTCGGGCACTTCACGACCCCTGCCAGGGACTGTAAATGTTCAGCCTTGGCCACTAACCACTCACCCTCGCGGGCGTCCGCTCGTAGGCTGTCC